TTTTTTTGGGGGGGGGGCTCCTTTTAATTATGATTAGAGTATCATGTACCCCAAAACCCTATTCTAATCGTTACGGCCCCTAGATTATTAGAAGCTTTCTGAGTGCCACGTGTCATCTGCATCGGTGCCGCGAACCCTGGCGAACCCATAGGATGCCGAGCCCTTGCTAAACTGGCGTAGTTTTTTTTTTTTTTTTGGGGGGGGGGCGGTCCTACATATGGGTGGTTGTCAAAATTAGGATCCCTTTTTGGGTTCTTAATCTCATACGGCAACTAATTCTTAGGGTACCCAAAAAGGGACCCTAATTTCGACAACCACCCATATGGGTAGTTCTCTAAATCAGGGTGCCTGTTTAGGTCCCCAAATGTAGCACGGCACCCTTGTCACAAATACCCACAAAGGGACCCTATTTTGAAAACTCATCATACAGTAAGCCCCATAAAGTTGGAAGCCGGATTCAGGCCAAATAGGGCCCGGGATTCCTGATACATTACTCTAAGGATTGGGGTTTCAAACTTTTGGGCTTCTGCTGTATATGTTGTCGAAATGGTGGTCCCTTTTTGGGTACCCTAAATATTAGGTGCCGTACTATCATAAGGACCCAAAAATGGTCCCTACTTTTGACAACCGCCCATATGGGAGTTTCCGAAAATTAAATAGGGGTACCTTATTTTGGGGTCCATATAATAAGGATCCCATTATTAAGGGTACTATATTAGGGTCTCCTATTTTCGGAAACTCCCATATGGACCCTCTAGACAGAAACCCAGACCATGAATCACCGAAGCCACGGCTGCAGACCCTACGAAGGCCGACACCCGGCTCGGGGTTCCAGCGTTCCAATATGGTGAGTTTCCCATAAACCCTAAACTTTACGCCCTAAACCCTAAACCCCTAGGGGGGTTTGGCTTACTTGGAGGTTCATGGGTAGTTATAAGTAGGGTTATAAGTAACAGTAGGGTCACTTAACTTATAACCCATATTAGTGGACTTATAGGCCCACTTATGACTACCCATGAACCTCCAAGTATCACTGTTGGGGGTGTCGGTAGTCCTGTTTGAGTAGGAGCTCACAGCTTTTGGATCTGGCCTCTCTGGGATCTGGCCGGTTTCCTTTCCATATGGGAGTTTCCGAATATTAGGGGTACCTTTAAAGGGATCTATAAGGGCTCCTTTACGGGATCTATAAGGGTTCTATAAAGGGTTTAGGGTTTAGAGATTCCGAGATTTAGGGGTAGCTTAGTTTGGGAGTCCTTATACTGAATCCTACCATCTAGGGCACTATATTTTGGGGTCCCTTGTTTCGGAAATTCCCATATATCTGTAGTCTCCAAGTGCACGGCAATCAACCAAGACAGTACGTACAACGCTTGTGGAAGTAGCAGTGCTGTCGTCTCCATTGTAGTTTCTTTGGGGGGGGTATCTTAAAAGATCTTGAATATAAAAAAGATGAACCCAACATACGATGAAACACTGATCCATGATGAGCACCCTAAGTCCTAACCCTCGGCCTAAAGGGTCTCTACCCTGAGACCCCAAACTCGAGCCCTACACCCTTAACCTACTTATCGGGTATCATGGGGAACTAAAGCTAAACCTTTTTGGTTATATAGGCCTATAGGGATTATAATATAGGGGCAATACTACCAAAAAAAGTTAAAGGTTACCTACTCTACTACTAGGTTAACAGCCCTAAACCCTAAGCCCTAAACCCTAAACCCTAACCCCTAACCCCTAAGCCCTAAACCCTAAACCCTAAACCCTAAGCCCTAAGCCCTAAACCCTAAACCCTAACCCCTAAGCCCTAAACCTTCCAAAAGCGCCTGCTGCCGTGTGGGCCCTCGTCGTCCCCGGGCAGATCAAACCCTGGTTGGCAGGACACACGCCAGCACCTTGGGCTGCAGAGTCATGGGACTTAGTAAGGGCTCTTAAAGGGCCCCTTAAAGGGCCCCTTAAAGGGATCTATAGGGTTCCTGATTAGGGATCCATAGGGTTCAGTTTACGGTAAGACTTGAATCCCCCGGCTGAAAGCCCAAAGCCTACTTGGAGGATCATGGGACTTAGTAAGTAGGGTTATAAGTACCTTAGTTGGGGGTATAAGTGAATATATAGTTACCGTACTTATCACCCTAATTACTAAGTACCATGATCCTCCAAGTGGGCTGCACTCGAAAGTCCCGCGCACAAGAAAGAGTTGTAGATTGCAGGGCTTTAGACCCTAAACCCTAAACCCTAAACCCTAAACCCTAAACCCTAAACCCTAAACCCTAAACCCTAAACCCTAAACCCTAAACCCTAAACCCTAAACCGTTTAGGGCCTGCGGTTTAGAGCTGAGGGCTTTGGGTTTAGAGTTTAGTCGTGGGTTCAAAGTTTACGGCTTTGGCTGTTGATTTTAGGGCGTAGGGCGTGGGGTTTAGGACTCCCAACCCTAAACAGGTTTGTACCCAGTTCGATTTGTAGAAGCACTGACAAAGGCTCTGGGTAAAAGTTCAGGGTTTGGGGTTTGCTAGAGGCACCTGAGAATCCCAGAGCTGAACTGATTCATCTGGAAGTCGTTGTGGACAAACAGGAACATCTTCCAAAGAGCAGCGAGAGCACCGAAGCATGCCTGCATTCTTTGCCTTGTGCATCCACATCGAATGGGTAGCTGGCACATACGTAACATGTGTTGTTATGTCTTGTGCTGCAGGCTGATGAAGCTCCGGGCTTGGTAGTAATGGACGCACCGTCCACTGGAAACAGATTGAGTATGATTGGAAGCCGCTCTCGGGCTCGGAAATACTTCTGCGCCGCACAAATTGAAGCAGCATGTCCACGCCGCCATCCACAAGGCCTTTCCTGGCAGTCCGGTTCGCTTCACCCGCCGCGACGCTTTGGGGCCTCACGAGGGGCTACTTATCCTTAGACCCCATGCCCTACAAAACCGGAAACCCTAACGTAGGCGCCTTAGTAATTAGAATAGAGTTTAGGGGCCAGTATACTACAATTAGACTGAGGAATCCCCAAAATAGTGTAGGTAGTTATTTGGGCCCCATACTTCAAGGATTATGGGACTACGTAGGGTTATAAGTACCCTAATCATAACCCTAGTTACTAAGTCCCATGATCCTCCAAGTAGTACTTACATGTCTTGCGGTCCAGATCGCGGGTTGTTCGTTTCAGAGTTCCGAAATAGTACAGTCCTACAACCCCACACCCCAAAACCCTTGAAAAACTACGATACAGACAGAACACTACAAGGCTTCTCATGTAACACTAAAAATTGAAAACAACCTTCCGAAACCCCAAAACCTATACTCAATCGCTGAGCAGGACATCAAACAATTTCTCACGAATAAATGGATTAAAAGCTGATTTTTCTGGAATCCGAAAACCCTAAACGAACCCTAAACTTGCCCTAAACCCTAAACCTAAACCGTGACTCCCAAACCCTGAACCCTAAACCCATCTAAACCCTAAACCATGAACCCTAAACCCTGATCCTTGACTTCTACACCCTGCTTAAAGGATAATGGGACTCAGCAACTAGAGTCATGATTAGGATACCTATACTTACTTATAACTACTTATAACTCCAATTATAAGGTATTTACAACCTTACTTACTAAGTCCCATGATCCTCCAAGTAGACCCTAAACCCTAAACTAAACCCTATAGATCCCTTTAAGGAACCCTATAGATCCCTTTAAGGGACTCTATAGATCCCTTTAAGGAACCCCATAGATCCCTTTAAGGAACCCTAGGATCCCGTTAAGGGACCCTATAGATCCCTTTAAGGAACCCTAGAGATCCCTTTAAGGGGCCCCTTACTAAGTCCCATGATCCTCCAGGAGAGCCTGGGGGGTCTTGGCTACCAGGTGCGGCACATTGGCCGATCCCTGCCCTTGTGCGGCCCCACGCAAGGCATGTCCTGAGGTGACTGAGGAATGGGGTTTGGGGTTTAGGGTATTAGGGTATTAGGGTATTAGGGTTTAGGGTAGTAGGGTTTAGGGTTTAGGGAATGGAGGAATGGGATAAGGGATCCATCCATAAGGGTACTGTGCTATGGGGGGCCTTATGAGTTCGAATAGGGCTTTTTCGTGCAGCTTCTTTTGCAGACGGCTTGGGGCTGCAGGGCTGGGGTTGAGGGCTGAATGGGGCTTCGGGTATAGGGCGGAAGAAGGATTCAAAACGCTAGCTTTCTGCTTGTCATTAGCTCAAGAAGTTTTCTGAATAGGTGTGCCGATCCCTGTGCTAATGGGTGTAGGCTAAGGTTGAGTTTCTCGAAGTGTAAAGCTTACAGTTAAGGATTTGCTTTTGAGGTTCTGGGTCCATCTCACTTGGTGTTGGGAGAAACTGTGGAAGTCGAAACCACGCATGCTTACAGTAAGCCGAAGAAATTGGAATGCTTTCTGGCTTCTACACTTTCGGTTTACCGAGATGAAGATTCCAGAGTATTGCAGAAGCGCTCCTGCCAGAAGAACGAAGCCCGAAAACGTTTCCTTTCCTGGAACCCTAAACCCTAAACCCTAAACCGTACCAGAATGTCGGGAGACTTCACGGAACCCCAAAGTCCACAAGCGGTTTGAACATCGAACGCAGCATGTCGGGTGAATTGCCGAGCGAATACCCATAGGCCCCATAGTAGTTCCTTTTAAAGTTCCCTTATAGGATTCTATACATATATATATATATATGAACCCCCAAAAAGGAACTACTTTGGGGCCGATGGGTAGTGCCGAAAGAAGATCCTAGATGATCCTGGTGCCGACTTCAGCTCCTTTTCTTTCGCAGCGCTGTGGTCAAGGACTTTGCCCTACGCGAAAGTGTCGACCAGCCTGTTCGTGGCATTATGGACCTCCTGATCTCCCACTCCAAGGGTAAAAGGAGGGACCCTTAATAAGGACCCCTAGGTATATACCCTTAATATAGCTATTATATACCCATGATATAGCCCATTATAGGGTAGGGGTCCCCATTAAGGGTCCCTCCTTTTCCCCTTTGACCCACACAATGCCCATCACATCCGGTTGTAGTCTCCCTGCCAGGCCTTGTTCCACATGAGCGAGTCCGGACTGGTGAGCCTGGTGTCGCAGGCAAGCATGTAGTACTTTTGGCAGTACATGTCGTATTTGTCTGGGCCGACAGCGCAGGGGCTGGCCTTGGCGGGCCTGAAGCAACCACGCTCTGACTTCGGAAACTTGGCTCCTTTCACGGGGCACTCGTCGCCGAAGGGGTTTGTGTAGACCTTCGACCCGACCGGGCGGTAGCAGCAGCACGTTCCGAGAGTCGAGTTAGAGTCAGACTTCAAGTGCGCAGCAACACCCTCTCCTTGGGCATCATCTTGGCGGCGGATGCAGCAGCCAAGCTGCAGCAAAGCCACAAAGAACAAGACCACGGCGTGATTTCCCATCATCACGGCAGGTGGAATGCAAGGTTGAGCAAACTTACCGCTGTTTGACCTCGAGAAGCAGGTGGCTGTCCGGATCGAACACGGAGACACATGCCTGGAACTTAGACCCGAGGTTCGTCAGTGACCCACAAAAACAAGACTACTCAGAAACCTAGGACCTGTTTGAGATCACCCTGCTAGTTTTCGGGTTTAGAGTTTAAACTATACTGCCCTTGGAACCATAATAAAAATAGTATGTCCAATGTTCTCTTGGGGTTTATATGAACAAAAATAGACCATAATTCCTAAGAAGACCATGGTAGAGTGAGGAGTTTAGTGCCGAGTTCAGAGTTTCGGATCGCAGTCAGCCCTTTCATCGCCAAGCGGACAGGAACAGAAGGCAAGGGAAAGTCGACGAGCGACGATCTTTTCAGCAGTGTGCGTAGTCAATCATGTATGGCAATGTAGATATCAGGCTTTGAGCATATACAACCCAGAGAGCCCAATACCCCTTGATTAAGGAATATACCTTAAATTATATAGGGGCTTCATATTATGATTTAAGCCCAATTCCGTGGTTAAGGGGTATTGGGCTCTCTGGGTCAGTCCTGACATATAGAACTGTTGAGATTCTACTATACAGGGCCTTCATAGATCTCTGTCCAGGAAACCTTAAAGAAAGCCTACATCACTAGAAAATATATGGGAGTTTCCGAAAATTAGGGGTACCTTATTTGGGGTCCTTACAATAAGGATCCCACTATTTGGGGTACTATATTAGGTGCCCTATTTTCGGAAACTGCCATATAGGTGTTGGGCTCTCGGGGAACGTAAGGAACGCACAAGAGTTGAGAGCAGGAAGCTCTCAGTGCTCAGAGGCCTGAACTGTCTGGTGCTGAGCAAAGAATGGGGGAATGGATCCCTATAGTAGTCCCTACCTTAGCCCCAAGTAACCTACTTTTTTAAGGACTTAAAAAAAAAAATCATATTAGGGAACCCTAAAAAGGTAGGTTCCTTAGGGTCCAGGTAGATATTCCCCAATATAATGGTCTACATAGTGCATTCTCCCATTCCCTACTAAGAACCAGACAGTCAAAGGCTCGAAACTTCAGGCTGATATTGCCGCACGACAACTTCAAACGGTGTCCTTCCATGACTTGTGCACGGCCGGATAGATCTTCTTAGTCCAGCTGTTGTTTCGCAGGAGGTAGAACCTGAGAAGGGCATCGTGTAGGACTCTACAGGTGCTGCTATAAACCTGCATTATTACCTTAACCCTAAACCCTAAACCCTAAACCCTAAACCCTAAAATGGTTTTATGGCATATTTCTATGGCTTTATGGTATATTTCTTGTTTTGGATAATGCAGGATGTATCTCATAAACGGTAGGACGGAGGCCTGAGGGCTTAGGGTGTGGAGATTGGGGCTACGGGGGTTTGGGACGTACTGTGGATGGACAACATCTTGCATGACCCAATATAAGGAATATACCATAATTCCCATAGTTTAGGGTCCGTAAGGTCATGCAAGATTTTGTCCATCAACAGTGGCAACTGTCCCCACGACATGTATGTGGTTTGGTTTGACTCTCGTAAACCAGAGAATCCTACAAGTCCTGAAGCCTAAAAAGAACTGCCCTAAACCCTAAACCCTGTAAACCCCGAAGAATCCAAAGGCTCAAGACCCACAACTCTGAAGACTTCGAGCCCTCAACAATCTCAGGGACGAGGTTTTTAGTTTTGGGGTTCAGAGTTTAGGTTTAGGGTTTTGTGTCTAGGACCTAAAATTTAGGTTTAGGGTGTTGCGGGTTAGGCTTCGGATCTTAAGATCTAAAGTGCATGGTCTAGGAGTTCGGGAGAAAGCCGAGACGACGGCTGCTCCCAGCCGTTCGGGCCCAAAGCCACCTGTGCCGGTTTAGGGTTTTTTGAGGTTTAGGGGTGCAGAGTTTAGGGTTCAGAGGTTCAGGGTTTGGGGTTGACGGTGATTCCTTGAAAGGCTCCTTCCTACACGGGTTGCTAATTAACAGGGTTGAGTAAGGGGTTTTGAGTTTAGGGTTCAGGGCTCGGCTAAACGAAACATAATTAGTAATGCATGTACTCTGCCCTTCCGACAACACAACTCGAAGAAGCCCTAAAACCCTTGAGCCTGCACCATGATAAAATAACTCGGGTTGGGGCTGATGGATGTCCCCGTAGGGGGACCATCAGTCGGCTGGTTGGGGCTGCTCGCCCGCCAAACCTCTTAAATGTCGACAACCCCTCCAAAAGCAGACCAAAGTACTTTAAAGCCGCCGATGCCCTAAAATCGCAAAGCCCTGCATAACCCTAAGAAAACTCCGAAGTGCTTGAGAGCACCCAATGGTAGAACCCTACAAAACCCACGCCTTCAAAGCATGGTTAAGTTAAGCCCCGAAGCCCTAAGATCAGCCCCTGAAGTGGGTTTAGGGTTTAGGGGTTTGTGGTTTAAGGGTTTAAAGTTTAGGGGTTTAGGGTTTAGGGGATTTAAGGGTTTGAGGTTTAAGGGTGTAGGATTTAGGGTTTAGGGGATAGGGGTTTAAGGGCTTAGCTTCCTGCGGCGATAAACCTCAGGTCGTGGTTGATGTTGACGATTGGTGCCCTTGCCGTCTTCCTTGCGACTTCAATGATCGGGTCAACGTAGCAAGACTTCAGAGTGCCCTGTGCGTCCATGCAAAGAGAAGCTCCAACGCCTACTAGACCCAAGAGTAAGCCAGGCATAAAAAGGATGCCCTTTTTGGTTTAAAGGGGCTTATAAGGGAACCTGAACCCTAAAAAAGGGAATAAGGGCCTACTCTGGGTCCTAGCCTACATCGCCGTAAGGCAGCTGCGTCCGCAGCGGCCACGTTACTCGGGGCAACGGGCCGCATCGCAGAAAAAGCCGCCCTGACCCACGGAGGGTGGGTCCTCTGCCGGCGGTCGCCGCGATCAGCCTTGGCCGCAGCCAATGGTCCGCAGGACTTCTCGCGGTTCGGTTTCCGCGCCTTCCGCAGAAAGCTCAGGCCAGACCATGATGTAGTCGGCGACGATCGCCTGTAGCGACAAGTGAATATGATCACGCCGGTAAATGCCCAGCCGCCGCCGGACCGATTTCAGCGAATATGAACTGTCAATATCGCTTTCTGGGTTTCATCCATCTTGTCAATCTCCTCAACCATTGAGCGCATTGCAGAGGGGGTGACCCGAAATCCATAGTTTTGATTGTAATCCGGGGGTGACTCTGTAAAGATCGTACGGGGATTTAGGGTTTTGAGGTTTAGGAGTTTAGGGTTTAGGGGTTTAGGGGTTTAGGGTTTCAGGGTTTAGGGTGACTCTCTCCTCCCAGGATTTGGATTTTAGCTTACGGCTCGGGGGCCTTGTAGAGCTTCTCGTTGAGTTCATGGTCAAGGGTCTGAGGCTCAGGATGTAGGGCTAAGTGTTTAGGGTTCAGGGCTTTGGGGTTTAGGGGATTTAGGGGTAGGGTTTAGGGTTCAGGGTTTAGGGGTTTAGAGTTCGGGGTCGGGGGAACATGTAAGGCTAGGTTTAGGGGTTGCTGAAGAAGTTCGAGCGTCTCTCACGCAGGCAGGTGTACCCACATGAATGAAGTTGCGACCCAACCGTCTAAGCCAACCCGAAACCATGAACGAAAAGCGTGACACAAAATCCTAAACCCGAGTTGGCCAAATGGTCCACAGAGCCGAACCCTAAACCCTGAACCAAACAGCATGCGCATTTCTTCCCTTCAGCGATTTATCTGGGCTCCCCTGCTTAAAGCAAGGGCACCCCTTTCCCTACCACGCATCTGTACCTAAAACCCTACAGCCAGAGTCCGACGACTTAAGCCTTCCAAAATCCTGAAGTCGTGCCGTACGCCCCTCTCCCACTGGCGCCTCGTAGGTGAACCTGGTGACGATCGGGTAAACCCTCAACCCTAACCCCTGTACCCTAACCCCTCAACCCTAAACCCAAAGCCATTAACCCTATACTCTCACTTATCGGTTAGGGCGTCTGGCTCCCTGAGACATGTGGGACGTTCCGATGAATGTAGGGTTGGGGTGATTCATACTGAGTTCAGTGATTCCCCTAAACCCTAAACCCTAACCCGCAGTGATTCACTGGCTCGGGTTTGACGGTGAGGGCTTCGGTTGTAGAGCTTTTGGGGCGTCCTGTGTGTAAGGTGTCGTTGAGAAAGCTAATAGACCGTAATATACTAAAAACACCATGTATAATTCACTATAACATATGTATATATGTGTATATATATACATACATAACAAACTTCTATACCGATAAGAGTACCAAAGACCCCGCGGCAAAGTTAGTAACAAATCATCAGGCTGCCGTTTTTGATTTAAGAGTTAGGGTTTGACCGGCCTTGGGTTTCTGAATGAAGATCGATTAAGGCTCATGGGTTCTGTGATTCTACCAGGGTTTAGGGTTACAGTAAACCCCATAAAGTTGGAAACTGGATTAAGGCCAAATAATGCTGGGATTCCCTCTACATTACTCTTAAGGATGGAGGCTCTGCGGTTTCCAACTTTTGGGCTTCTACTGTAGGGTTGTAAACCCTGTTTGGAACATTCTCTTGGCATTCATATGACAAAAATAATTCCTACGAAGACTATAGTTAAAAATAATTCCTAAGAAGACTATAGTTTAAGGCCCCTATAATTTCAGTGGTTCGGGCCGATTGGGTCCAGGGTCTTCAGGGCTTCCATTCGGCCGACGAAGGAACCCGAAAGCCTCCGTTTGCAACTGGGCTTGACCAGGCTCAAAGGGGAAAAGGAGGGACCCTTAATAAGGACCCCTAGGTATATACCCTTAATGTAGCTATTATATACCCATTATATGGTGACCCCTACCCTATAATGAGCTATATAATGGGTATATAATAGCTATATTAAGGGTATATACCTAGGGGTCCTTATTAAGGGTCCCTCCTTTTACCCTTGGACAGGCTCCTGAGTAGCCCAGCTTTAGAATAACGATACCCCGCTTCCTACTACTCGGTTTTGATCAGAGGACCC